TGGCTGCCAGCAACCCCACCCCGGCACCTGAACGATGGCATCTTGAGCTCATCAATTTACCATGAACTATCTACACTTTTAACTTTTAAGTCTCCAAAAGCCTTCAGAGGAGAGTGCTGGTACATCTCCATCCCTACACTCCTTGAAATCATCCATGAATCGGAGTTCATACCTGGACTTCCACGGGGTGTCCTGTCTGGAGATCCCTAAGTAGTGGGCAAAGGCTTCCAACCAGGTGACCCCTGTGAAGGAGCTGGTAATTATATGATCGTGATTTCCTCATGTTCTTGGTGTGTTTCTTCCAGACTCCAAACCCCACGACCCGCCACCCTGTCCAAACCCGACCGGTATGACCCGCCACGCGACCACCGTGTGATCCAAACGCCGCGCCTTCCGCCCCTTCCGGCCGCTGCGGCTCCGAGGATCCTGAACGAGAGCTCTTCGGGTTGGGGTTGGGGGAGGCTTTTGGCGAAAAGAACGCCCTGAGCTGTTGAACAGCTGTTGGATCTGTTTTTCTTGGATTTGGTTGTTTCAATAAGGAAGTGACGGAAGTGACAGGCTCAGCATGGCTCTTAGATTGGGAGCAGGAGAATGGCTCGCGGCCATCGAATGGTGTTCAAGCAAAGAACATCGTTGTACCAGGACCTTCCAAATTCGGTAGTCTTGAAAGACACCCCGTTCAGGAACCTCTAAAAACGATGGCGAGGTCAGGACAGACACCTCGAGTAGAGATCGGTGGTAGACTGAGATCGTGTGAGAAATCGGTTCCTGGGTTTGGTGGTAGACTTTCATCGGATGACTTGGGAAGGAACGCGAAAGGGGATGGATGGAATCAGAGACAAGCAGATCAATGCGAAACATCAACCAGGTTAACGCTCCGGCTCCATGTGTTGTTCCTCCATGCCCAAAGCCATGCCTTCCTTGCCTCCATATGCCTCCATTACGTTGGGTTGGTGGCCCAAAAGGACCCAGCTCATTCAGGGAACCTGTTGGGACACCCTGGCGGAGTCCGACCGAGGTGTCACCAAGGACTTCCCAAACACCTCGGTGCCGATCGTCGAACTGGAGCGAAGCAACAACGCTGAGGGTGACGAACGATTCAGAATTCAGCACTTTCGAGCTAACCGCACTTTGGACCCAGACACCACATGCACCCAAACACTCCATGGGACTGCCATAGGACTGCCGATCAGTTGTGGTGGTTTGAGGGGTCAATGTAGGCATATATGGCAGTCCCATGGAGTGTCTGGGGCATGTGGCATATGGAAATTCTCAACCACGCCCTGTGCCGCGCGCGTGGAACACCGCCCGCGCGGAACAAAGCGACGGTCCCAGGAGTGCGCTGGTCCGAGTGCTGGTGCCAGAGTCGGTCACGTGACCGGTCGGCGGTCCTTCTTGGCTTCTCTCTTTTCTTCCTTCCTTGGATGTGCTGCCAGGAACTGGAAAGAATCAAACATCACCCTAAGAATCTGAGCTCGGGCTCTCGATGGCAGGGGTCGGACTCCTCATATCAGGGGTCCGGACCCGAACCAAGCCCTACGGATTTGAGGGCCCGGATTCTTAGGGCAGGTCAATTGGGGGATTTAACAATGAAGAAGAACACATCGTCTTAAGCAAAACCAGGCTTCCGACTTGCCTTGAGATCTTTCTCATCTTCTCTGCTCCTCTTGGATCTTTCGTCCCTGTCTCGGTCCCTGTCTTTGCTCCTGTATCTGTCGTCTCGATCATCTTCTCTGCTTCTCTTGTACCGGTCATCCCGATCATCTTCCCTCCTCCTGTACCTGTAGTCCCTCTCCTCTTCTCTGCTATTGTACCTGTCGTGCTTTTCTCGGTTCTTCCAATATCCTCCATGATCTTCTCCACTCCTGGAATAGTTCTGATCATTCCAATCTTTCCTGGGCATCTGCAAACTCCGCACAACCCCGAAACATGGGAGCTGATCGAAGATCGAAGTCTTCAACAAGGGCGGTCCGATTGAGCATATCTTGCACTAGATATAGAAACGTTATGACAGGTGCCCTATTGAGTTAAAAACTCCAGGATCTGTTGGTGCTCTGCACATGAATTTCAGTTTCAAACATAGACCATGGTCGTCCCAAACGAAACAACTTGCCCAGTGCATCGCATGCACCAGGAATCCTCCAGAACTGCAGTTGGACGATACTTTTCCTGAAATCAGGTCCTCGTTCGTCAGAGCATTCTTTGTCTAGTCTTTGACTCAGGCAGAAAAAATATGACAAGGCACTGGGTATCACCCCCAGTTTCAATCAGTTACAGTACTCAATTTGCTCGTCCCTCTAAGCCGTCACCCTGGCATCCTCTTGCAGTGCCAAGACCACTCTCATGTCTTTTGGACCTTAAAGAAAAACGACAACAGCTTGCCTGTGGGTCAAAACCAGTCAAAACCAGTCCCGCTTTTCCCCGGGCATGACGTGTCGGTCGTGGCACGCCGTGGAGCATCGACCTTCTTGGCACTACACCCCTGGCCTGATCGGCATATATTCCATACCAGGACCGAAACCAAGTCCGGTGGTTGGAAGGACACCCCGAATCATCACCACTATACTGAGGCTATTTGCCAGACACCTCGAATTCGGAGGGTACATGAAGCGTCTGGGGTTCTGAATCTTCTCCAAGGCGTCCAGCCATATCTTCCATAATTTCTGTTCCAGTCGGAACCCTGCCGAAGGCTGGTCGTGCTCTTCGTGGTCTGTCTTGGCTCGGCAGGTGCTTCTTCCCTGCACAGCGTGACGAAGTGGCTTCAGTGGAACTCCACAACTGACAGAGATCATATTAAACTAAAAACTCCAATCAAATGGACAACAGTGCCCCCCTATGGGAAGTGTTGTTTTTTTTGCAGGGAGTCATCAACCAAAGAAGGAACCCAATTAGACTTCGGCTTTGGATGTATGGAAAAAAACAACACACAACACCTACAAGTAGTATACAACACCTATATTGGACGATCGAACGGATTGAAAAATCATCTAGTTCCAAGCTGAACAGTGACCCGGGGGGACACGACCTCTTTTGAGCCCCCCAAAAGAAAGATCCGGTTCGACTCTGGACCGATCTGAGGATATGCCCAGACATGACCTGTCTGGGCCCGGGACTGCCAGTCTGTTCTGCCGAGGAACTCACGGCCGATTGGGGTGGTGCCATGGAGGGCAGGACGGGCGGCGACCGGAACGGCCGAAGGAGCGGAGTCGACGAAGTCGACGTCGGGACAGACACTCCGGCACCCGTTTACCACGACTCGGTGATGGCGTCGAGTCCTGGAGCTTCTTCTTAGTTGAGGGGGTCTATATACCAGCACCCCCAGTCGGGGTGGTTAATGGACACCCCTAACTTAACAGCTAAGGGGCTATTAATAGACACCCCTAGGAAAGATCTTGAGGTCTTCAAATTCAATTTAATGCAGATCTATGAGGATCTCTAGGGTCTATAGTCGAACTGAATTCCTTACAGGGGCTGGTGATAGACGGGTGGACCAGGTGGGAGATGTTTCAGTAGATGAAGGGTTACTGGCGAGAGATGAATTTCTGGGGGCTGCTGAACCCTTCATCTGCCACCTTCAACCTGCACTCCCAGCGCACCTCCTCCCACCCCACGTCCCCTCCGTGTCACGGCCGGTCGAAGCGGGATGGACGGAGCGCGCCTGGTCACCTGGTCGGGCCTCGAAGAGCGGACAGCGACACGTGACGGAGGCTGCTTCAGTCTTGGGGGTGAACAGGATGATTTAGGGTGATTTTGGTGATTTGGGTGGTGGTTTGTGATTTGGTGGTGGTTTTGGCTTAGTACATAGATGGTTTGGCTTGGTGCTTTTTTTTGTGACGGGCTCCAGGGTTGAGGAGAAACTGCAAACTATTAAATCAAGGAACTTTCCACTGACATCCAAAGCGCAACAAAAAACCTTGGCCTGACTTGATCGATTATTCTGTTATATTCTGTTCATGACTTGTGACCAATCCTTACACCTGAGGTCGAGCTTTTTGGCTTCTCTTGCTGGCCTGATTGATCACCAAACATCTCTCCCAGGCTGAAAGACCTGGATTTCAGTCTGCCATCATCTGCCATCAGGGGGCAGGAATCGATCTGCCTACCCCTGACATCGATTCAACCACCGGTCCCTTTTCGACCACTCGCCAACCACTTCTTCTTCGGCCGGTCACCGTTCTCTCAACCTGCAAAGGACAAAGCTTCGTTCTTCGTGTCCGGGACTGCCGACCTATCCCGGCTCAGTGGCAGGACCGACCTCGCCGTGGTGAAATGGACCGAACACACCATGTGACGCAGCTTCGGGGCCGAACGGGTCTCCTTCCTGGATACAGAGTAAGACATTGGTCTAGACATACCTGGGAACCAAAACAAAGCAACAAATGGTTGGAACCCAATATGGCGCCAGCTTGAGATCCTTTACTAGGAAATGGCTGGGACGAGGTTTCGTTCCATCCATTTCTTTCTGGTTGGCACTGGGTCTCCAGGCATATGCCCTATATTCGCTATATTGTGCCACACGAGAGAGTGGGGCACCCCATTCTCTGAATTCAAAGACCTCATTGACAGCCATGTCTGTCGACTGTTGATGATATTTCACCCCCCAATATGAGGTTTTATTCAAATGGTGTGTTCTTTTATTCATCATCAGTCTATACCACGAATTATATATAATTACCTGGACCTTCTTTCGGGGTGTCCTGTCTGGAGGTCCCTGCTGGGGCGAAACCAGCCAGGTGACCCCGAGGTCCAGCCAGGTGCTGGTTTGTCATCTTTTTGACAGCACTTCCTTGTGTGCCAAGCTGCCAAACCATCAGACCAGTACCTGGACCCTCCAAAGTACCGGAAAATGGAACATGATCCCATTAAAAACAGGTACAAGACTACATACTTGTACCCATTTTCCGAGGTACAAACTGAGACTCCAGGTATATTAAGTTGGATCCAAAAAGGGGCCCACGGGATCCGGGTCAAAACTATGTCACTCAGCTGAGGTTCCACACGAGGCCTTCTTCGGCGGAGGCTCCTGGAGACGAGGTCGGTCTCGCCGCTGTTCGGACTTCGGGACAGGGATCTCCCAACAGAGGTCTCCAGTGACCAGGTCACTAGGACCCGGAAAACCAGGGGTACCGAACTAGGATAGTCTAGTTCGGGTTCTGACCCACCTCTGTTGGTCTGCCAAGAAGAGCGTGAAGAAAACCCCATCAAGGTGGGCCTTCGATATCAGAACGAGCACATCTTGCCACTGTAGCACCTCTTGCCGAAAAGAATGTGAACGGATTTGGAAGTTCATGGACCAAGGGGAAAGCGGGAATCCACCTATTCATACCTATTCAACGATACGGGAATACACAGGACAAGTCACCAGCAGCACTTCGTTGGGAGGCGAACCTCAAACCGGTCTTAATCAGTGCACAAGTGCTGCAGCGCTTTAGGTCCATCCTCCAGCCCAGCACACGGGCACCAGTGCTGGCCGTACTTCTTCGGCCAGTTCTACGACGTCCGTCCACCCAGCCGCAGGTGTCCACAGCGTCGCTGTTCCTCCACCTTGGGCTCCGGGGGCCACAGCTCATGCTGCCTCCCACGAATTGAAGCCTGGGCCGAGTGAGACTCTATAGGGATACAGTTGTTGCGGAAGGTGGGAAGGTGGTTTTAGACTCCGGATGACTCCGGACATGTTGCACCAAACAAGCAAGTCTCACAGTCCCAGATACGACGCTCCATGGGACTGGCATATGTTACATACATTGACCCCTTTTCAATCAACCACCCCTGGCCGTTTCTCGGTAGTCCTATGCCAGTCCCATTAGTCGTGTTTGAGACTGGTTTTCAGAGCTTCGACATGGCCCTCTCTGGCACCCCAGCTCAGTACATGTCTTGGTCTATCAAATCGGGGGTCTACTATGAGTCCATTGGGGAAATGATCCCATCTACTTGGCAGCCACGTCAAACTTCTGAACGCCTGCTAAGCTTGGTCAACCTCATCAAGTTCACACGTGACTCCACCTGAACACGTGACTGAGTATGGGAAGCTTCCCATCACAACCGACACATGAAAAACCATCAACAAACCGAGAGGTCGAGACCGAGACCTACCGTTGACCTAGGCTAAGGTGGTTTTCTACATCCCAGACGTGGGATAAGCGTTTGATTTAGCCACGTGACACGTGCAAATGAAGGACATCCATGCAATGTTTGAACCACTGAAGCAGTTGGACCATGCGTCTCCCCGTTGGACTTCAGTCCCTCTCAGTTCAACCGGCCCTCGCCCTGAAACCGAGGTGCAGGGAGTCGCGTGGACCACCGCGAAGTTCGCCACTGGCTACGTACATCTATACGTACTATATTTAGTATATATTGTTTTAACGAATGTATAACACTTTATAACACCTTATGAATCCTTATGACACCTTATAACACCATGACGCACCATAAAACGCCTAAATACAACATTAGACCACTTACCTCGATCTTCCAGCTTAAGCCCAGCACCCCAGTTTCCGATGCTCAAGTGGCGAGCTCTTCCCGTGTCGGCCGGCCGCTGTCGGGCAAAGACTTGTCGCCTAAGGCAAGGTGCAAATGGCGTACCCGGGATGTTCCACGATCCGGCAGAAAAGGCTCGTCTTCCCACCTCATCTGTCCTATTGAATTGCATAATATTATATACCAGCACCTTCAGTTCGGGATCACCTGGCTGGTTCCGCCCCAGCCCGCCACGATCAGGGACCTCCAAACAGGGCACCCCTGTCTTCAGGTCCAGGTAGTTATATCATGTTACATCACCCTAGGGGTTCCTGGCCTATATCCTCAGGTTTTCAGGTGGTTGGACCCCCTAAACCCACCCCTGTCCCGAAACGGTTTCGGGGGCGGCCGAGGCCCGGAGGTGTAGGGATAAGCAAGGTCAAGGACTCCAGAACTGTGCCCGGTGCGGATCTCCAAAAAAGGGGGCGCTTCGATGCGGAGATGAGTCGTGCATGGCGCTGCGCAGGACAACGGAGCTCATGGGCACTGCGGCGCGGAGTGGCACATGGTGAAGGTGGAGGGTCTTGAACCTGGTTGTTCTCCGAAAGAATCCTCGAGTCTCATCTGAAATAGGAAGAACATCGTCTTCCCAACACGTCATGCCGACGAAGACAGCGGTCCATGCGTCCGTAGGTCCGATGTGTCAGGCCCAAACACTCGGGCCAATGTTTGCCATCGGGCCCTCCTTCGGAGGTGAGTCACTCATGTGGGAGCTGTGCTCTGCGTGTCTCTCTGTCTCCGCTGATCCGCGTGCAAAGGACTGACCGGGTCAGACCGGCCAAGAAGACGACTCCTCTCTAGACTCTAGAAGAGACCTGGTTTGTCAGATGCTGGCAGATCAATGGCTAAATGGAACCCAGGCTACTGTCCAGTCACGCAATTTTGGTGCTCCTTTAAAACAAGGCTGTGCCCAGATGAGCCGAGATCATCCTAACCATGATGCAATGTTTGATAGTTTTTGTCAATGTCCTCCTACCCTGGGAGTCCAAAACGATATCCAAAATGGTCATGTGCCCTGGAAAAAAGATGTCTTTTACTTTGGTGGTGCCAATCCATGCACCCACAAATATTATGTACACACATTCATGTGTTCAATCGGCTCGATGCCTGCATCTTTGTCCATCAATCTACATTGATCTTGTCCACTGTTCCTCCTGCCCGTTTCCTTCTCTGGAGCACAAGGCTGTGCAAGTATGATGACATGCAAATACATACAGTATCATACAGTCAGTAATTGCTGTAATATCAATGTGTCTCCTTTCCCGTTCTTTCCTACAACAAAGTCCTTAGACCATGGGACAATATCTTTGCCCTATAGGAAACAGAAGCTGAACACTTTTCGACCCTTTTCCACCACCCCAACCCGACCATGACCCCCCAAGCTTGAGATATACATGGACCCAGTTCCACACCATCAACCAAAACACCTGCCAGTTTCCTGTCCCACCCGAATAGGCCGGGGCCTCCTCCTCCGCCCCGGGTCGTCCTTCCAACCCTCCGTCCGTCACCCGTCGGTCACGCGACCGCCGAGGCACGCAGCCGTCGGGTCCAGAAGGCGTGGAACTTCTCGCCGTCGCTCCGGACGAAGGGGAACTCGGCCCCGTCGAGGTCCGGACGTCCGCCCCGTCCGGTCGGCCCCGTCCGTCGGAGTCCGACGGAACACGACGTAGACGACTAGTTGCTGTCATACGAGTGACGCCGGCCCCGAAGGGAAAGCCGTGACGGCACCGGTTTCGGCGGGTTGAAGCAAGGGAAAGCGGAAAGCTTCGAAGCCACGAAGTGTCCCCACCATTTTTGTGGCATGGCATGGTGAAAAGAAGCGACATCAGAACGGAATCATCTGTCGTAATACGTGTCTTTGTCACTTCGATCTGTTCAGTTGATTTCATTGCTTCCATGGTTTGTCGTGGAAACTCTGGAAGTGAGTGGGACAGCCGGCATCATTCCATACTCCATGGGACTGGCATAGGACTACCGAGAAACGGCCAGGGGTGGTTGATTGAAAAGGGGTCAATGTATGTAACATATGCCAGTCCCATTAGTCGCGTCGTGTCTGGGACTGTGAGACTTGCTTGGTTGGTGCAACATGTCCGGAGTCTGAAACCACCTTCCCACCTTCCGCAACAACTGTATAGTCCCATGGATGTCGTGTCTGGGATTGCTGCATCAACCAGTTGGACCGCGCTTTTGTCGTCCACGTCCGGACGGCCTGTCCACCGCCTCGATGTACCCAGCACCGGTTCCGTGTCCCCCGCCCGAAACCGTGGAGGACCTTGAAACCGCTGGCCCATGGCATCTGGTACGTTCCACTGGGGGTTCCAGCTCGCTAGCCCCAATTTCAGAATCCGGAACAAACCAAGAGAGGTTGAACAGCCTTATAGCCCATCCCATATGTACCACTACAGGGTCCTATAAGGTCTCTCAACCTCTCTTGGAAAAACAGCTCCCCACCCACTCCATTGGCACCGCCGAGGCGCCAAAGCCAAGAGCCGGAGCAAGTCGGAGGGCTTCCATCCGGTGCTGGCCATCCGCGCAGTCAGCGCCTGAGGCGGTGTGGTGAATGGGGTTGGGGGACGCTTCACCTGAGGGCCTTCTCCTACCAAAGCTTTGGAGGCCAAGAAGGGTCCGCAAAAAAGAACACACACTCCATAAGACTGCCATATATGCTGCCCCATGACCCCCCAAACCAGCCCAACTGATCGGCAAATATCGCAGTCCCATGGGGTGTCTGGGTAATGGTGAGATCATGTGAAATCTATAACATTCTATAACTATAACCACTGAACCTCCACCCATTTCAAAGGCTCTATACAGCTCTTTTTTACTCATCTGCCTCTTTCCCAAAGCAATGACTCTGCATATAATGGTTCAATATGGTTCATATATACATGTTTTTCTAACAGGCATGCAGCGGCGCGCACACACACACATAGGGGAAAACACAGGAGCCACTGATGTGTATGTTGAGCACCGAGGCCTTCTAATTAGCCCAGTAGGTCACTTGCCCACATTTGCTATGAGGGGATGCAACCTGAGGGTTCCCATTGAAAACAGTTGCAATCAGTTGCAAAACCAAATGATCCAAACCTGAAAGTCGTGACAGCCTGGGCACTACTCTGACTCTGGGGAAAAGTGCGTCAACTACAGCCGGATCCCCTTTTGATGATCGCAGTCATCAAACCATGGAAAACCGAAGTAACTGAGCTCACCCATCCCAACACCATGTCTCGCCTGGAAACTCCGCTGCGACCTCTCGCGACCGACCGACTTCCAGGACCGAACCACGTGCCTCGAAGTGCTTCGCTTCCTTCACCTCGCTCCGCCGGCGCCGGCCCGGTCACGACCGAAGGAGCGAACAGGATCCGGAGAGGGGTGACAGGATGCGGGGGAACAAGCACATGGGGCGAGAAATGGTGGTTTTTGTTCAAAAGATTCAACGAAGAATTCCACTTCGCTTCGGTTGCGACCTGTTGGGACCTTTGATGACCTATATGGGTGACAGGATGCGGGGTTTGGCGGATGGCTTCCAGGAAGAAGCGCCGACAACCTTTGGGAGAATGATGGAGAACCGCATGAAAACATATTGCATGAACCAATGGTGGCGCGAACGCCAGTTTTTGACTCAGGAGAAAAAACACAAATTGTTACACATGAAATCATATGAAGCTGTTCAAAAGTGAAGCTGTTCAAAAGGCTTAAATGTTGATCTTCACTAAACGATCAAACTGACTCAGTAATATTCACCTCCTTCAGTTGTGAATATCTTTAATTTGGTGCTAATCTGTTCGCCCCGCTCTCTTCGCCTCTGCTCGTTACCCCTACCCCAGCTCACCTGCGCGGGCGAAAGCTCTTGGCTCGCAAGAGCTGCGGTGCTGTAGCCCTCTTGGCTCAGGACGTAGCCTCGGATTGGTTCCGTTCGGCACCGCACGAGCTGAATTGAGGACAACACCCCCCCCAATTGCTAAGAGGATGTTCATGCACCGTCCCCCTGTTTGCTCTGATTTCAGGGTCTGCCACCCATCACCACGCTTCCGGAGCAGGGCGGGGCCCTGCTTAGTCTGCCATGGCGACCCGAACCGAAAGGGTATGGGTGAAAACCCCCGAACCTGTGGAGGCACAGACCCTTGGGCTGGTCTAATACAGATCGCACGTGCGCACGCTTTTGCATGAGTTCCTTGCTATCACCCAACCAGCCAAACCCAACGGCCGAACGTGTTTTTGGAAGGATTGTTCTTGGCCTTTCAAAGGAGACGAAGCCCCCAGCGGTTGCTGATGGTCAATTCGTCTCAAAGGGCTCCAGTCGTACCCTTCGTTTCGAAGGTGGAACTGGGGTGGCTGCCAGCAGGATCCAGTCATACCTTCTCAGGAGGTATATATAGATGGAGCCCTAGGAAGAGGGCCTAAAGTGGGTCCCTGAGTTGGACCAGAGAGCTGCAATTCTGAAGGCGCTATTCCCAATATTGATCACAGAGTCTGCGATGGTCGGATTTGCCTGCAATTCCCAAAGGCCCTATCCCAGATGTTGGAACCTCCCACTGTGCAAAACTTTAATCCTTTCATCATTTGTCCTCCGGAGACCAGCTAAAAAGCACACATGATGTTGCATTGTTGGAAGATCTAGGTCCTTGCTAGTTGCTAGCTTTCCCTAAGAAGTCTTGCAACAAGTTGTGCAGTTTTGCAACAGCTTGTTGAAGCCCGCCAGCCTGTACACCACCAAACTTGAGAATGCTCCGAGGACGCTCCGACCGCCAGGCGAGGGACCCATCTGAGTTCCTTCACCAGGCGAGTGGAACTTGTTCTATGCATTTCTGTCATTTGGTCCAGGGATGACCCTCACTACCCTCCATGTGGGCAAATTAGACTCTGGGATGTTCAAGTTTGCGTTCGAGAGCTGCAATCCTTAAAGGCCCGATGTGCCTCACTGAATCCGGAATGGTCAAGTTCGTCAAAGAGCTGCAACCCATAACCCAGACACTCCATGTATGCCATATATGCCTACATTGACCCCTGAAACCACCCTAATGTATAGGCATATATGGCATACATGGAGTGTCTGGGTAAAGGCACAATTCCCGAATGTGGGAGACTGAGTCTGGGATGATAGTCAAGCTTGCACAAGCCCTGCAACCTTGAAAGGCCCAATCCCAAATGTGGGTCACCGAGTTTGGGATGCTCAGGTTCGTCAAAGATCTGCAATCCTGAAAGGCCTTCATCCCAATGCGAGTCACCGAGCTTGGAATGGTCAAGCTCACCAAAGAGCTGCAATCCTGAAAGGCGTTATTCCATGTTATTCCCAATGTCGGTCACAGAGTTTGGTATGGTCAAGCTCACCAAAGAGCTACAATCCTGAAAGGAGTGATGCCCAATGTGAGTCACTGAGTCTGGGATGGTCAATTTGGCTAACCTTTTGCAGTCTTGGAAAGCACTCATGGCAATTTTGGCTTCATGGCTGGGGATCTCAACAGCAAGCAAAAGCGACAAATCAATTTCAGTGCTGAAGTTGGCGATGGCATCTTTGCTTGAGCACCTCGCCAAGTTTTCTTTGAACACGACACTGACAACAGTATCTGCAGAGAGCCCTGCATCTGCAACCTTCTCGTCATTGCCCAGCCTGTCTCCAACAACAACCTCCACCAGAGTAGTGCTGCGAGTGACCTCGTCCCAGGTCCGAAAAATTTCTTTGATCTGGCACTTCAACTCTGCTCCCGTCATCTCTGGTCTAACTTCAAGGCAAAGTGTCTGGCCAACCTGCAGCGCGGAAATTCTCATTGCCATGGCTCGCTGCAACAATCACTCCCAGCACCTTCAGGACCTCGGGGTCACCTGGCTGGAACGCCCCAGCCCGCCACGATCAGGGACCTCCAGCCAGGACACCGGAAAGGTTCAGGTCCAGGTCCGTAACAATCATGCGTTTCTCTTTTTCCGGGAATAGGGTCGATGCCATCAATACATACCAGGACCGAAACCAAGTTCGATGCTTCTTGCAGACCCCGTTCCTCACCTTACCTCTTAAAAAAAGAGGCGAACTGGACGGACACGGACAGTTCGGAAGGTCCTGGTCCTGGTCAAATCAACTGCATTGACTGACGACGAGACACGCCGAAGCTGGATGTGTTATACTTTTTTACATATACTGATGTTCATCCATGAGCTGAAAACGGCTGAAAGCTGCCGAAAGCTGATGGCTCCATCTTCCACTAGGCATCTAAGACTCTGGGAACAAACCAGTTTGCGCCGGGTCATCGTGTTCATGTCTTCCTTCGGGCCTCCGGACGTAGGGGACGCCGTCCCGTCAACGGCCCTGGTCGGAGTGTCTCTCGGGTCGGTTTTGTGGGGTGGTTTGGGGGTGCTGACGGAGCGAAGGTGATCTTCCAAGCGGGAAAGGCCGGACTTCTTGTGTCTTTTTGGTCGCGTGTAGCCAATTAGTTGGAAGATCGATCGGTATATTATGGATTGGAGATGGATTGGGGATGTCGAAACCAAGGTTTTTGGAAGAAAGGCCGTTTCACATTCTGCTGTCAACTGGTCTCTGAAAGCAATGTACGAGAAATCTCAAAAACTACCATATAGAATACCCATTCCAACCTGCTGCCGAACCCGTTCCAACGCATGTGTGGAATCCAAAAGGCGTGGAAACCCATGTTCAACCAACACCTGGCAGCAGCGGCCGTCTGGAACGGAACAGTTCCGTCATGTCTCCCAGTTCCGGAGTTGGCCCGAACGGCGGCTCCGAACCTCCTCATCCACATCCACACCACTCGACGTCGACGACTCTGACGTGAGACGTCAGGTGGGTGACCAGGGATGTCTCGGTGCTGGTCGCGACCCGACTCGACTGCGGTCCGACCGAACCACCCGAGTCGGGTCCCGTTCGGTGCAACCGACGGTCCGACCGCGGATGCGGATCGGCCCCGATGGGACGGATGGGAAGTAAAACGTCTACGCGTCAACATCCCAGCAGTCCGACACCAACACACACTCCAACAGCAACACACACTCCACTACCCCTCCAATCCAGACGCTCCATGTATGCTATATACGGTACCTATACATTGACCCCCCTGGCACCACGCCAACTGATCGGCAGTCCAGACTGGCAGTCCCAGACTGGTCGTGTCTGGGAAACCCCCATCGCTGTAACGGACGGCCATACCTCGGGCGTTTGGGTGCTCATCACCGAGCCGCACGAAGACGTTCGCCCGTGGTTGACCGGAGACGCCTGAGGTGAGGATCTGCATGGCGTAGCACCAATGCTTGTCCACGCCTCGAGCGGTGCGCACCAAGACCGCGGGGTTTAGCGCCGGCGCTTGCGCGCACCGTCCCGCCGGCGCGTTTGATGACACGCGGAGGCCAATGCCTTGGCCGATCGATCTTTCGAGCGCTTTGTTGTGGGGAGGAAAGGAAAGCGGGAATTGTCCCCAGTCCGGAAAGGAGCCAATACAGCCTTAATTAAAGGAGCCGCAATGAGGCAGTGATCGAGGATCATGGAGTCTTTCTTCTTGAAGTTGACATTTCGGTGTTTTTGATGTCCATATTAATATGATTCATATGATGTGTGTTTCAATTTGAGGTTGCTATAGCAAAGTTGGCATAGCAATCACCCCAAGACAATGTGTTTTTTTCCATGAGGTTGTCGCTACCACCAATCCGTGAGGCACTGACGTATACGTCGTGTTTGGTGCTCCAATGATCTGACCCTGGCCTGAGGTTCGCTCGTTCAAGCATATGTTTCTTCGGTGGAAGGTTGAGCACGGTTGAGCCTTGTGGCGGCTTCGACCATATGGAACTCATTTAATGTCTTGAGTCTTGAATTGCTTCAAGCTCTTGGAATGGTTCACCCCATCCACCATCATCCACCATGGTCAGTGAGCACTTCAGCGGAAGGAGGCTCAACTGCTCGGACTCCATCCCAAACATATGTCATACCATGTCATACCATGTCATACCAACCATTAATGCAAAATGTATGCCTTTTGGCTGGTTTTATGGATGAACAGGCAAACATTTGGCACAGTCGGAAGATCCAGCTATATGCCTAAATTTAACTCCCCAAACCACCCCAATTTCGGCGTGACCGGTGCATCTACAGAAGTCTTCCTGCAAAATCATCTAAGGGCACCTGCTTTCGACCAAAACCACTAGGCATCACGGGGAGCTGCGGTGTCCCTGAGGCCCCTGCACCTCACCCTGAAGGACGAGGATAGAAACATGAGACCAAAGCCTGAGACAACTGGGGCTCCAAGACCTATGAGGGGCGCGTGAGCCACCCCGATGGGCTTCACGGGCTCCGCTTCTTCACACAACTGCCTCACGTGGTGACTTCAGCGGACCGTGCCCTACCGGCGGTCCTCGGTTTCCAAACTGTAGAGGTTTTCACATGACCAGGATCATTCTGGACCGGGGTGTCCTGGCGTTCGACTATACCCTACCCTAGTTACAGGTCTCCAGACCTCGTTATGGCCCTCGTTAACGAAGGGCTAGGTACAAGGACTATGTTTTTGTTTGTTGTTGGCTGACGGTGCCTCAGCAGTTGCGATACAGGGCGAACCACGAGCTGCTCTGGACGCCACTGGACTTCTTCTGCATTGGCAATGCTGTCGGCCCAACGCGGCTGGGACCGTGCCCGAAAACGGACGCATCGACTCGGTCGGAGCGACTCTTCGGCCCAGACCGACTTCGGTCGTCCGAGGGATCAAGCGAGAGAAGTGGGCAGAGTCGGTCCTGAGAGTCCTGAGCACCTGTGCCAACATGTGCCAACCCATTCCTTTTCAGGCCTTTGGTTCCAAAGAAAAAATGTTTTCAGGATGTTTCAGGGATCACTTGTCCCAAAGATTTCGCCCAGTCAACACGAAACGCTCAGTCTGTGTCAACGGTCACTTCCGTCGTCCGGACGCCAGGCTCTAACAGGGTCGATTCATCCACCCCACCGGCCAACCGCCGCTTCGCGCGAAGCCGCCGAAGGAAGAACGACCACGGCGAGGACGACGCCGAGCGGTCGGATTCGTCCCGAGTGGTCGGACGCCAGTCTCGCTCAAAACGTGGAGTCCTAGCCATGGTGCTCCATGTACCCTAGGCTTCCTGGCCCACCATGAATTTCATAGGCTTCCCGAATTAAGGATTTGACACTACAAAAACCAGGTGAACCATAGTCTTGGAAGTCTAGGGTGTATATGCCTTCAAAACGGCCAGGGGTGGTGGGGTTCAATGGAGGCATTTATTCCAGTCCCATGGAGTGATATGGGTGTCGGTATAGAGGCGATCGGTTCGGCCCCGAACGAACTGACATCAGTGTTCGGTCCAGGACTCACGTTGGAGGCTTTCACCCGGACGAGTTCGGGCCCTTCGGGTTGGGTACCACTGAGCCAGATCTGGGATATATACATTGAGTGCTGGTTTTGGGGACCAACTCCGGTTGTCCTGGTGTTAGTGTACAATGTATACTGTATACATCTGTATACCCCAAACACTCCATGAGACTGCCATATATGCCTACATTGGGGTGGTGCCAGGGGGGTCAATGGGGCGGCATATATGGCAGTCCCATGGAGTGTCTGTATACTGACTATTATATTACCCTAAGAATCCGGGCTCCTTCACCAACAGATAGGGGCCCTGGTTCGGGCCCGTTTCCCCCGGAACGCGTTTCGGTGGAGAAGGTCCGACCCCTGCCATGGAGAGCGATTCTTAGGGTAAAAACATATAAGACTTTGTATACGGGAACTATCCAGTTCAAATGAGGTCGGTCAGGACCTGTCACAGCAATCTCCTCTTCTCCCTGCGTTCGCCCGCGTCGCCTGAAGGCGGCGGTCCACTTGCCGGCGTCGCGCCGGAGCACGTCGATCGCGAAGCGCCTGGGGCCGCGCGGCGCACGTGCGGAACGGGAGGGAGGTGACTCTTGGGATTTCCACAAGCGGTGAACCTGGGCACCAGACTTGGAAACACAGGAAACACCTGTTGGAGGGTCCAAGTTATATAAGATTCTAAAGTGGCGGGGTATAGTGTTCGGGTATTTAGGCAAGTCTGGTCCTGAACAGGCTTCATCCCTCCCAATCTGTTGTCTTCCGGTGGTCCTGGAAACAACCTCCCTCTTCTGGAACAGTTCGACAAAGCTCATGCCAAGGAATGTCATTCATTGCCAACCATTCCCTGTATGAATGTCTGGTCATGTGTGGCACATTCACCGACATTGTGGTGCTTTCTGTGGCCGCTGTGTAAAAAATACATAATGGAATAGGATCTGATAGCAGATCCCCGGTGTTCTCCCTGTGTTCCGAAAAAGAAAAAACATCTCCTGCCTATCATCCACATGGCGTGAGATATCCATGGACACCACGTCGTAGGCGGCCGCCTCCGGTCGCTCCTGGTGCGGTCGCGGCCGGTCGCTGCGCGGCCGAGATCAAATCGAGTAGCGAGAAGACCAAGAAAACCTGGCCCAGGCCCAGACCATCCATGGTGGAATCATACCTAGGGGTCATCCGGGTCATCCAGGGTGTCCTGGCGAAAAAAACTCCACTACCCGACTCCCTATGTAAACAGGTCTCCAGACCTCCAGGGCACCCGGACAGGAAGTGCCAGGTAGTTATAAGTGATAATGCAGTATAATACATTGTACATGACTTACATTTACCCCAAGATTTCAGAGCACCCATCGATGTAGGAAAAAAACATCGCAGTCCCATGGAGTGTCCGGATGCTGTCTAAAATATCCTTCGATCTCAAGCATCGTCAAAACCCTGGTGCGTCTCGGGGATGCCGGCGAATCGAACATCACTCCAACCAGGAACGAAGACTCTTCAGTTCCGATGTCTCTTCAGTTCTAATGTGGCGGGTCACACATTCCTTGACGAACAGTCGGGAGGGAGGGGCCCCTGCCCCCGCCTGGGTAATTTCCCTTCCATCCCAGGACGAATTAAGCCGCGCTGCTTTTTTTCGGGGGTTCGACTGCGGAGACAGCCATTTCCAAGCTGTGCCCTTGGCAGAATGAACCATCTTACAAGATGTTGCAACTCTGGCAACCGTGAGACGCATGCTCTTGAGATATTGATTTGGCTGTGTCGTGCGCAAACGAACTGCGGTCTGCACAGGCATCTTTGCCACTGCGGGCTGTTGGGTCAGGCAGTTTTGAGTTATTTAACACACTCAAAGACCTGCAACCCTCAAAGGCATAATCCCCAATGTGGGTTACTGAGTTCGGGATGGTCAAGGTCGCCAACGACTTGCAGCGCCAAAAGGCCCATTTCCCAATGTGGGTCACTGAGTCTGGGATGGTCACGTTCACCAAGAATTTGCAACTGTGAAAGGCACCATCCCCAATGTGCGTCACAGAGTTGGGGATGTCCAAATTACACAAAGAGCGGCAATTATCAAAGGCACAAGCCCCAATGTGGGTCACAGAGTTTGAGATGGTCAAGCTCGCTAAAGAACTGCAACCCGCATAAGCATCATTCCCAATGTGCGTCACTGAGTTTGGGATAGTCAAGTTTACCAAAGAGCTGCAACCCGCAAAGGCCCAATTCCCAATGTGCGTCACAGAGTTGGCGATGGTCAAGCTCGCCAAAGACCTGCAACTGTGAAAGGCCCAATCCCCAATGTGGGTCACTGAGTTTGGGATGGTCAAGCTCGCCAGAGAGCTGCAACCATAAAAGGCACAATCCCCTATTTGCGTCACTGAGTCTGGCATGGTCAGGTTTGCCAGAGAGCTGCAGTCCTGAAAAGCGCTATGCCCAATGTGTGTCACCGAGTGTGGGATGGTCAAGCTCACCAAAGATACGCAACCCTTAAAGGCATGGTTCCCAATGTGGGTGACTGAGTCTGCGATGGTCACTTTGGCCAACTGCTTGCAATGTTCAAAGGCCCTGGATGAGATTTGAGTTCCGTGGCATGGGATTTCAGCCATGAGTAAGAGTTCTGTGTCAATATCGTTCCCAAAGTCGGCGAGCTCATCCTTGTTTGAACATCTCACTCTGTTTTCTCTGAAGACGATGGTCACAACAGCATCTGCCGCAAGCTCCACGTCTGCCATCTTCTCTTGATTGCCCAGCAGCCTGTCTCCAACAACAACCTCCACCACAGTAGTGCTGCAAGTGAACTTGTCCCAGGGCTGCCCTTCTTTGATCTGTTGCTTTAGCTCTCTGCCTGTCACCTCAGGCGTGACATCCAAAATACGCAAATCACCATTGACCTGCTGCGCTGCAAGTCTGATCGCCATTGGATTTCAACTGATCTGTGCTACTGCAAAATTTGCTTGCCTACTGCCGCCTACTGTTGAACTTCTTTTTGTCAGTGCGCGGTGACGCATGGCTAGCTGTGCCTACCATCCCTGTAGGAAAGTGCTCGGAACGTGTCCAACTCCTTGCCAGCTACCCTTCTTGCTGGGTTTTGAGGGCTTGGAAAGGGCTGGAATCCTTCCGGGTGTCACCAGACCCTGACCCTTGGCTCCGTCCAATCGACCCGCCGGACCATGGGAGCTGAACCTGGGGTCCCGCAGGGACGGGTCGAATGGGACGTCGCGAGGCCCCCCTCATCCGAACTGGGAAAAGGGGTCTGGGGTTTCTCACCACTCCCTAGGTTTTGAGGGACCAGTAGTATAGGGCTGTGAACTTGGAGTGTCTGGGTGGTTGCAAGAGGTGTTGGAACCATTTTAAATTGGTTCCTTCCCATACACGACGTACGGTAGAATCCTAGACGACGTCATGGGACTACCGGAGTCCAAGACGATTCTTAAAACGGTCTGACTTGGTGATCCGAAAAGGAACTTCCCTTACCAGGGGTGGTTAATGGACACCCCTTAACCTCTAAGGGGCTATTAATGGACACCCTTTCCGTGGTGCTGGTACTTGGGTGGTGCCTAAAATAGTCGAACTGGGCTTCTAGGGACTATATAGAATCTATATGCCGCCCCATTCAACCTCCCTCCAAAACCACCCCTGGCCCCTGGCCGAGACTCGGCATCATAGAATCATATCCCAAACACGACTAATGGGACTGGCATATGCTCCATACATTGACCCCTGAAATCAACCACCCCTGGCCTGATCGGTAGTCCTATGCCAGTCCCATTAGTCGTGTTTGGATGTGTTTGGGTATGACAGTCCCAGACGGGTCGCGTTTTTTGGTCATGGTTTCTAAGATCCCTACACCTCCGTTTTCGTACCTCCTCAGAAGGTATGACTGAAGCCTCCTGGCACCCACCCCAAACCCCGAACCTCATACGACTGGAGGCCAAACGGGAACGTGCTTTTTGGATCCGGACCGTGATTCATACGCCCCGAATCCTTGGACGACCTCCGGGTACCATGGGTACCGTGGGTACCGTGGGTACGGTACATGGCGGTTGGACGGTTGGGATGCCATCCCAACTCACCTCACCGACTCAGTCGACGTCGCCTCACCGCCCCACAGGTTTCGTCGTTCGGTTCACGCGCCGCTGGGCTAGAGCGAGCGCAGTGTGAAAACCACATGGAAGGACTGCTGGGGCTAGACGCCTGGCTAGGGCCTCAAATCATCGAAGGACATCCCCTCTGGAAGTTGGCTGACCTGTATTCTTGGATATGTTTGGATTGGACAAGGACTTTGGATCCCTTCATCCATCCTTCTTGGATATTTTTGGAACAACTTTTTTCAAGAAGGATGGACTGTCTTCTTCGATGAATCCGGATTTCCAGAGGGATCTCAATCTGGATTCCCAATCACTTTTTTTTCAAGATGAATCCGGATTGGAAGGATGGAAGGGAAATCCCTGGGATCGACTCGCGGGATCGACGGACGGTCATCGAAGTCACCCTGGGCCTTCCTGTTCCTGTTTGTCCAGTCGTACCGAACCTGAGGTTCGAGGTTTGGGGTGGGTGCCAGGAGGGTCCAGTCATACCGAACCTGAGGAGGTACGAAAACGGAGGTGTAGGAGGTCCGGACCCTCCCTCCCTCCCTCCCTCCCTCGCGCTCGCGGCCGCCAGCAGTTCCCCAGTGACCCGATGGGTGGAATGGGCCTCCAAGAGGGTGAGCAAAGGCCCTTCGGTACTGCAGTGGTTGACATGCTTCACCTTCCGGACGATCCAGACCTGGAAGGTTGTTTGCCAACTCAACATCACGTGCCCTCGAAACCCTGTAAAAGCCACTATTCCTTCCACAGCAGGGATCCAACCTTTTTGCAGAAAAGTACATGGGTTCGGAGGTGGAATCCCTGCCTCAAAAGGATGAAGTTGAAACTCCTATGTGGGTCATACTTCCACAACAGGTAGGGGAGGACTGCAATTCCCTCGTTTCGTTGGATGGGCTCCTCATGGCAAAAAGAGCACCTTTCAGCAAACCAGTGGTACATTGATAGGCCTTCCATGGCTTTCCTACCTTTCAGTTCCAGCTTCTTTGTTGAACACCCACGTAAAAGGATCAAAGTAACTCTCTTCCGTCAAGCGTCTTGTTAGTCCTGAGCATCCATCAGACTGGACGATTCACCTACATTGACCCTCCAAAAGTATCTTGAAAGCACCATTTTCATTCCTGACCAGGACCCTCCAGTTATATCACAGTTCTTTCCTTGTGGCTTCCTTTTCTTGTCCCATGACCCAGGTCTCACTACTTCTCACTTGGTCACCTGCGTTTCAGATGTAGTTCTAGTGAAACATATGTCAAACTGTCACCAACAACTAGCCGCACCATCTGGTGGCATGACAGCCGCCACCACATTGCGGCATCCGCCCAAGAGCTGCAACCCTCAAAGGCCAAATCCCCACTGTCGGTCACTGAGTCAGAGATGGTCAACTTGGCCAAAGAGCTGCAACCCTGAAAGGCCCGTAATGTGGGTCACGGAGTTTGGGATGGTCAAGCTCGCCAAAAAACTTGCAATCCTCAAAGGCATACTGACCAATGTGTGTCAAAGAGTTTGGGATGGCCAAGCTCTTCAAAGAGCTGCAGCCTTGCATGCCAAGCTCAGTGACATACATTGGGTAGAGTGCCTTTCATTGAAAAGCAAACTCCCCAATGTGGGCCACTGAGTCGGGGATTATCGGCTGGGCTAATGTGCGGCGTTCAGGAATTTGTGTTTCATCGCTTGGAATCTCGACCACAAGCGACAACAAGATTGGCGATCGCATCTTTGTTGGAGCATATCACCTTGTTTGGTTTGATCTCTACAACTGCTGCGAGCGAGCTCGTTCCAAGGTTTTCTCTCCATGATCTGCTGCTTCGCCTGTTGTCTCAGGCATGGCTTCAAAAAACCGGGATTTCACCACTCGGCTGGAGCGCTGAAGTCTTTTTCTTGTCATGGCTCAACCACTATAGGGACTTGTATTTGAACTGATTGCTTGTTGTCTAGCCTTGAAATACAGTTCATAGTCATTATCGCACACACACTGGGAGTCAAAGACTATAAAAAGAACAGTCTGACGAACGGGACCTGAGTTCGGAAATCCTTTACTTCACTGAGGCAAAATATAGACAAGTAATTATAGTACACACCCCAATTCCTCGCCCAGCCTCGTGGTCCGCCAAGGGCGCGAGGCCCAGCAGGAGTGTGGAGCAAATCAGTTCGGGCATCTCCCACAAAGGCACCTCTCAGCGCGGTCAGCGCAGAAGTCCCAGCTGGTGATCAAACATATATAAGTTCACCTCATGGAATCCGAATAGAAAGGACTATCACGTTCAATCGCTGATTATTCTTTTACAATTAAACAAAATTATGCCGGCATAGAACCCAAATAGCGCTTCAAGAAAAGGATGGCATGGCAAGAGCGGGAGACATCCCACTCAAAGCCGGGAAAAGATGGAAACGGTAAACAAGACCTAAATCATCTTATAACAGCATCCGCGTCAAAGGCAGGCAAGAAAATGACAAGGCGGCAGCGGCAGCCAAGAAAGAAATCAGGAACAGAGACAAGCTTGGGAACCACGGCGGCAGCGGCAGCCAAGAGCAAAATCAAGAAGGGAGACAGGCTTGGGAGACCAGGCGGCAGCGGCAGCCAAGAGCGAAATCATGAAGGGAGACAAGCTTGGAAGGCAAGCCGGCAAAGGCAGCCAAAAGAAAAAATCATGAAGAGAGACAAGCTTGGGAGACAAGGCGGCAGCGGCAGCCAAAGCCGAAATCATGAAGGGAGACAAGCTTAGGAGTCAAGGCGGCAGCGGCAGCCAAAAGGGAAATCATGAAGGGAGACAAGCTGAACAGACAAGGCGGCAGCGGCAGCCAAGAGCGAAATCACGAAGGGAAACAAGCTTGGGAGACAAGCGGCAGCGGCAGCCAAAAGCGAAATCATGAAGGGAGACAAGCTTCACAGACAAGACGGCAGCGGCAGCCAAAAGCGAAATCATGAAGGGAGACAAGCTTGCGAGACAAGGCGGCAGCGGCAGCCAAAAGAAAAAATCATGAAGGGAGACAAGCTTGGGAAACAAGGCGGCGGCAACCAATTTCCGCAATCAGGAACCCATCCATTGAGAAGTAAGAACCCCGATAGCTTCGCTATCTGGGGAACAATCCAGGGTGTTCAACTATATGATGTTCCCATCAAACCAGTTTCTCCACCGATGACCAATGACTTTGTACACTATCAATCTCTCTCTCTGTTCAGAGACTTCCCCCCAATGGACTTCCCATACAGGAACCTGACAAGACGTCATCTCGTCGCTGTTTCAATGCCAAAGGGATGACATGCCAATCCCAATCACGTCATCCCATTCGTATTGTGTTGTATATGTTTAGTATGTATGCTAAGTGTTTACGTCATCCCACGGTGGACCTTTAAGTAGACGTCATCCCGTAAGCGTGTCTGGGGAGAGCGTCTTCGTCTGACGTTCCTCGCCTCCTCCGGCGGCGTCTTCACATCGCCCAAGCGCCCGAAGCTGCCGGCGCCTCGGTGGTGAGCAAGGCGGCACCGAAGGGGCGGTGGAAGCACCGGAGTGGGGAGGGAGGGTTTGGGGGGATGGATTTGGGTCCGGACATCCAGGCGGATTTGGATGGATTTGGATGGTTTGTTGGTCGGATTCCATCCGGGCGGGAGAAACAACCACATGTTGGACATGGTGGGTTTTGGACCTGGTGCAACACTTCATTTTTGATGGTCTGAAAGCCAGTCTTGACTCTTTTCTGATGCACTTGATCATTTGGCAAAACATGAAGAGTGTTGGCATGCCGCTTCTGCATGCTTTTTGGAATTTCTGAAGTTCATCCATTTTTGTTGGGTCAATGTCAATCTTGGGGTCCGGCGTCGGCAAAAAAAGAAACACACACACACTTATAGAGAGAGAGAGAGAGCTCGCAAAAGCACATGTGCAAACACTGGTCAGCAAACTCATTCGCCCTTTCCAGCGGTCATGCCCTTGGGCCCTTGACTGCATCAAACACCGGATTGGAACAGCTGAAAAGATGGGGATCACAACGGATCCCAACGGTGTTTTGGAGCCCTTCAACCATTCATCCACCGTCCCTCTTCGAAAAGACAACAAAACACGCCGGGTTGGCCGGTGCGAACCAGCCGCGAAGCAACGAAGCAAGGCACCCCGGCTACTCAAGAGAAGGACCATGGCTTCGGCACCTGGTGGGGGGGTGGCGATCCAGTGTGAGGCGCATCTCTCGTTTGGGGTGCTGGACATGGGGCCGGGTCCTGAAAAGACTAACAGGATACTACATATGTTGTTCATGTATGTTCATGTCTTGTCGGGCTACATCATTTAATGAACCTTTGAAGGGGTGTATTCAGTCCTTAAGTTTTGTAGCACGGTTCTTGGGTGAAGTAGTCTCGTTGGCAATGATTCATGCTCCACTTTCATGTATATGTCCTTCAATTCTTTCCATCCAGCACTTGAAGAGTTTTTCAGAGTTACAATTTTGGTCCTATTCGTTTGAATTCCTTCCCTTCAAACACCGAGCCACCGCAAAGGTTCGGCACGAGGTGTGCACGACGAAAACATCTCCATGGCTCTCGACGTGGCAAACATGAATTGTGCACACGTCAAGGCATCTCGTGGTAAGCCATCACTGAACCAAAGAGACGTGGCTCCAAGCATACCCCTTTTTGGCCTTCCAAGAGCTTGAATAGGGCTGGTGTTGGTCATCTATTGTACGATTTTTGTATTCGGTGTTTCACCCGTATCCTCTGTTTGTTCAAAACAAGGCACAAGCGGTCAAAAGTATGTTCGTCCATATTCATGGGGCGGAGACTGGAACCCTCTGACATCCAAAAGTAGCACAACTTTGCAAGGTTTGGGGGGGTTGAAGCGAGATCCTTCAACTTCATTCACCATACCATGCTCATACCATGCTCCATGCTGATCAAACTGCTATCCCAAAACCCATCCATATAGGAGAAGAGTTACATTAACATGCATGTATCACTCTCTCTCTCTATATATATATATGGTACCCCCCCAAAGAAGAACTATGTTCACCTCACTTTTGCTGGTATATTTCGTGTCTATTCTTGGAGGCCTTTTGGACCTTGGTTTTTTTGGGTACCATATATATATATAACTTGTTGGTCCAGAGATTCTAAATTCCGGCATGTGAATTAACTTTGGAAGGAATGCATTCAGAATGCATTCATTGCATTCAGAATGCATTCTTGTTCAAAACCAAGATCCAAGATCCAAGATTCCCACAAGACTCCTGGCTAAAATCTTGGATTGAAACAGTGATAAGGATGTTCTGGCAAATCCCAAATCCAAGATTTTCCACAAGACTTCTGTGCAAATCTTGGATCTTGGTTTTGGTGAGGAAGATCCAAGATCCAAGATTCCTGGCTAAAATCTTGGATTGATACAGTGATAAGGAGGTTCTGGCAAATCCCAAAACCAAGATTTTCCACAAGACTTCTGTGCAAATCTTGGATCTTGGATCTTGGTTTTGGGAAGGAATGCATTCTCTGGCATTCTCTGGTAGTGACAAAATTGCACTAAGCACATTTTGATTGAGTCTAATTGAAGTCTAATTGAACCTTAAATGGATTCTAATTTGAGTATGTAACATAGTTCTACTTTAAGCCTAAGTTGAACCTAATTGAATTCTAGTTTAATCCTATTTAGCTTTAACTTCATTGTATAGACAAATTCGAATTCAGGTTTATTCTAATTTACTCATTTCTATTTTAATTCTAATTATGTTTGGCTATGTTAGATCTAATGGAATCCAAACTTGAATCTAAATTTGAATCTGCAACGTGCTTCTAATTTAAATAGAAAATGATCCTAATTGAACTTTATATAATTGAAATCAAAATGAGATTGCAAATTAGATCTAGTTCAATTCTAATTGAACTTAGATTCCAATTTAAGTCTAAGTCAATACTGTTCTACTAACCAAGCTCTAGGTAAAACAACTCTAATTCAATTCTACCGTAGTTCTAAGTCAATTTCAATTTAAGTAATGGATTCGTATTCAATGTTTTTTATTCAACTCTAATTTAATTTCAGTCTACTTCCAATTTAGTTCTATTTCATTCTATTTTGGGTTCAATTGTAACTTTGACTCTTCCAATTTACTAGTAATTAATTTCTAATGTTAATGCCTTTATACGGTTCAGATTCAATTGTTTTACACATCTAACTTTACACTATTGTCATTGCAAATTAGGTTTGGTTTCTATATGTCTAATTTCATCCTATTTTGATTCTAGTTCAATGCACATGGAATTCTAATTCAGTTTTGGTGTCATTCTAGAGAGTGGGTGTTGCTGGTGGTGAATTGAATTGACTTAAGAAAGCACATGCTGGTATATTGGAAACACTACATAAAATTTCTCATGTTCAAAGTAACACCACTTCTCTAGAAGTAAATGAGAATTTCACTCAAATTAAAACTAAATTGAAAAATAATACACTATTAGAATTGAATCTGACTTGTATAGCAATGAAGTTAGAATTAGCTGCAAATCAAATTAAAATTAGGCTTGCATTGAATCCCAAGTAAATTAGAATCTATAGTGATAGACATTTGAATCCACATAGAATTTACAAATAATTGAAATAGACTCAAATTTGAATTTGAATATACAAAGTAGAGTAGAGTTGAATAGATTGGAACTTAATTTTAATTCTAATTAAACTTGAATTTAGTAATTTAGTCTTTTAGGGTTTGCAATTCTTTGACTTCTGATTATGATGTACTTGCTCAGCTGCATTCAATAAGAGCAGTACAATTCACACCCTAAAAACAATACATATGGTTTTGCATGGGGGTTGCAATGAATCAGATTACTCCATCCAAGAACTGTTTAGTAAACACATAACCTTATGGATTTGGACATTTTTGTAGTACATAGTTAAATGAACAAATATGCTTACCAACTGCACACCAGCACTCAGAAACATCGGTTTTCGGGGGGGCTAGCATATATATATATATTTATATTGATATACAGATATATACGGTATATAAATATCTGTTCCAGTCTCTTGCATGGTCTGGGGGTTGGAACAAAAACCACACCCAACGCCTTGCATCCCCAGGCCTTGCATCGCAGAAGCCTGGCTGGCGACAAACTCGGGGGATGCCAAGGCTTCGCCTCGCGTGGACCGCCACGGAGGGGCCATGGGGGTTCTGACGAACATGAGTTGGGCCAGGAGCCTTGCTGTTTGGGTCACGATCATCCAAACATATCCAGGTGCCTTGCCACACATTCAAATTGGAATCGGGAGAACGAAAGCAGCCTGACAGCGCTGGACCCAAACATCAAAGTACAAAACACCCTGCTATCCAGCTAGCAAGACCCAAAAGACTTCCAAAGCCAGACGCGACCGCCATCTGGGACTGCCATCTATGCTGCCCCAGAAAAGGCCTCCTGGCACCACCCCTGTCCGTTTTGAAGGCATAGGTGGCAGTCCCAGATGGCGGTCGCGTCTGGGTAATGATCAATATTTAGGTTCACCGGGGGGGTGCAGTTTTAGGTATCGAACATCTCCTCGATTTCAGCTCTCCACCCCCTTCTCGGGTCCCTTAAGGTTCTAAAAAACACCAGGGTAAAGATTGTAAATCTAAGTCCAAGAGGACTACTACCTTAGTTGGATCATCCTGTCTGCGTGTCCTGAAGCTCCAGTCGCTCGCAGTGGGCTGGGTGGTCTATGGCACACCCAAACACGATGACCCAGGTACCTTGGATCAAACATTTTGGTGCTACCGTGTAACATGTAAAAAACATCCTCAGGTTTGGTGGGACTGGGGTGGGCACCAGTGGGGTCTAACCACTGAACCTGAGGATATGGTTGGAAACTTAGAGGTAAGTGAAACATCTTCCCCTTCAGCATCCGGAAACAGCCAAAGTTGCTCTCGAAGTGCTATTCGAGAAATCCCCTTCGAAAGCTAAAGACACGAGGTGTACACATATATCGAGATACATACCAGCTGCTTCCAACGGGTCACCAATGGACCACCTACCATACATATAGGATCATATAGGTGTTCCTTGGCAACTCCTTGGAAGTGCTAGGTATACTCGAAATAATATCCAGAGTCGCCTTCGCCCGAGGACTCCAAGTCCAACTCCGCGATCTCGCCCGAGTCCTGCGATGAGTCCTCGTCCCCGGTCCCGGCGGTGCATCCCGGGTGGTCCCGAGTCGTCGAATTTTTGGGGAGGACCAAAGAGAATAGTATTATAAGGGTCTATAGAGCTATAGAGTTGAGGTTCAAAGAAAGCTCCGATGCGTTGATCTATGATTGTACAGTGTTTTGTTTTGCAGCTTTCCAGATGACCTTTGCCATCATCGCTTCAGCCCATCATCTCGGGCTCCTTGGTTGAGCGCATGCGCTTCAGCGCATATTCCATCATGTTGGCCTTGTGGTCTTTGCTGATCTATGCCCCACTCTGCCATTGGGTTTGGGGCCCCGGTGGATGTGTAGTTTAATCGTCGTGCGGCACATGCGTCTTTCTTTTGATGGCGCGAGGCTGTGCAGTGTGGAACTGGCAAACATGACGCCGCAGGGGCAGTGGTTCATATTGGGTCTATCACCTGCAAGAGTGGATTTTTTTCCGCTGTCCATCTTGGTCAGCCACGATTGATGGCTGAGGCCGACTAGTCAGCTTACGCGTACTAGCCTCAGAAGCCCAATGCAGGTTCAGTTGCAGGCCTTGTTCCAATTCCTATAGTGATTGTGAAGAGACCAGTTCGGCTCAGACCAGGTCAGACAGGCTCAACGAAAAATAGTTCAGTCCGTTCATCCAGCTGGACTGGACTCAACGAGGCCATGGTGGAACAACATCAACGTGCTTAGTTATGTGTGCGTGTGCATGCACACAAACTCGTTCTAAGAACTGGTAGGGCAAAGTCTGCTAGAAACCAGTGGCTGCCAAAGCTTATTTGGCCTGATTTATCCTGTTTTGGGGGTGCTAGGCTATTAATTGCGCATCCATCCTGACTGGCCAGTCAGCTCTGCCGGTGTCCTCCATGCCTTTGGCTCCATTCTCACCTGGTTGACTGAGTGGACACCCCGTCACCAGTCATAGGGTCATAGTGTCACCCTCTACCAGTGACCCGAAAGGTTTCCCATGGCAAATAAAGGTTGTCACACACAAAAACCATGTTAAATTGCTAGGGACACCATGTTTTTTTTGGCTGGTTTGTGGGTCCCCTGGTATATAGTGAAAACACAGAGTTGGTAGGGTAGTTGACCAAAGAAACGGGTGTCCATTAAATAAATCTCTATATCCTAGCTTTGTATAGCTTTTCTCTTTTGACCTTCAACACGTACCAAAGCCACCTGGCAGCTTTCTCCTAAATCAAGATACAAATTTTCATCACCCTCTGGGCCGCCAACGGGCAAACCTTCCGTCATCTTCCATCTAAAAAAAGGCATCAGCATGTGGTTGCAGCTATTTGGGGTGTCTATATGTCTATGTAATAGTCTACACCTCAAACCAAAGCCCTCTGAACCCTCTGACCCAGGTGTCTGAATTGTTCATGCAGTCTGCTGTTTCGCACGCGCAAAGAAGTCTTCAAGCTGCAGAGCTTGGACAAAAATGGATTGGTCTGTGTTCAGCATCGTGCACCGATGTTGAAATCGTCCCGTGGTGATCATTGAAGGCACTATCATGATAGTCATTGAAATACGTAATGTAATGACTTATGATAGTGCCGACAAATCACATGATTATAATGTACTATAATCATATGCCGACACTTCATAGATCAAATTGTTCCCGACACGTCTAGCATCATGTAGCACTGCAAAAGTCATCTCCGAACCCTTCCCACTCAACAAATCAACTGAAATAATTACCCCGGAGTCGGCCACGCATCAAACGCTGCCCAAGTTGGGCCTGAATCCGTGTTGGCTGCCTCGGCAGAACCTCATCCGCATCAAACAATGTCTTCAGGAGTTTGTGGCAACATTGGAAAAGAGCTGCTTCCACTTGCTTCCAAACTTCAACCAGTCCCAGTCTCGGAAGGGCATGCTGCAAAATGCCCTGCAAGCCCAGCGCGCCAAGACCGCGCGGGCCTTGTGCTCCCACGCGCCACGCCACGCGCGCGCCACTGAGGCCCACACCCTGCGGTGCATCAGTGCTCGTCTCGGGACCTCCGTCAGGCGTGGCACCTGCTCGCTTCGGTGTTCAGGCGAGGCGAGTCCGTCATGGCACCCGCCGACCCGGGTGGACGAAGTCCGTTCCATGTGTGGGTCCAGCAGGGCCTTTGAGCGGCTCATGAAAACAGCCGGTGAAAACAGCCAGGATCACTGACGCGCTGACTTCGCAACACCTCAAGACAAAGCAAATCACCTTCAACACAACAAGTGCTACTGCAAACTCATGCCAAGCAGGCCTGCATTTGTGCTCGTTGCATCAGAACCTCGTCCAGAAGCAAACTTATTTGGAAGTTAGGAACCCAGCATACAAATCTGCAAGCTTGACCTCTGGAACAGACTTCCCCCAGCAAGCTTAAACACTTAAGAGAAACAACAAATCTGCGGTCATGAACGACGCATTTAAGGGTATTCAGCATTCAGAGATGTGCAGTCAATATCTCAAAAGCCACGTCACACTCCGACATCCTAGTTTTCCAAGATCGAAGTCTTTCTATACCACTGATGCAGAATTACAAACTCCGACCCAAGCCCGATACCCTCTGGCTTTGCATCAGCGCTGGTCTGCACTGGACCTTCATGTGGTTCAACGGTTAGGTTCAAAAGGACGTGCTCTGCTGTTTGAAAGGGACGATCGATGAACAGCATCGATCAATCAGAAGCATTGTGAATCGGTTTAACTACACTCAATTGTACTCAAAGCTTGTTTTAACCAGGATGTTATTGGTTCTTGTTGAATGAATTCACCTGACAGGACAACCAAATCTAGCATGCATTCGAACAACTCTTGTCCAAAGCCATACTTCACGAGTAGTCACAAACCCAAGAATCAGCCAGCCTGTGTTCATTTTGGCGTCAGCAAAACCTCGTTTCAATCACAAAGTAGCTGGGCCAAATCCAAAAGCCATGCCATGCCCTTCTTCCAGAGTAGAATCGACAGCATCAAATGCAACATGATGATGCATAGGCACCAAAAATCTAAGTCCGACACCCTCTGGATTTGCAGCACTCTTCTCCGGACCTAAACACGATTCCGCTCGGCTTAAAGGCTTAAAGTCTACACTGTCATGTTGACCTCGTACCATCTGGCAAGGTGTCGCCACTGACGAGAATGCCAAAGTGCAGCCATACGCTCGCATCAAAGGAGCTATTTCATGGAACCAACATGTCCCACTGTAGGAGAAGGGCCACTTGCAGTGCAAACGATCTTGAGACTGCAAATGCTACAATAGACTTGTGCCATCTTGTGCCAACGTGGGCCTGCATTTGTCTTTGTTGCATCAGCAGGACCTCATCTGCAGGCACACAACACTTCTTTGGGATTTTGGAAACGTTCATGCAAATCTGAAACCTTGATTCTGATTCTAGAACAGCAATCGCTCTGCTTAAGACACACTTAAGAGATCTTAAGAGAAACTTATATTATGTACAAGTCCAAGTCTTCTTCCACAACAAATCTGTAGCCCTATTTTAGTGAAGTCAATCAAGGAAGTTCAGCATAAACACCACCACCTCCACCAAAATCACATGCTGCTTATCATGAATTGTTGCGAGGCTAGTCTGATCAAGACATCGAGGATGTTCAATCACTTGCACTCACATACCAATCAAAAAATATGCAATGTTGGTCCTCTCTATATTGACCTTCCACATACAAAAACACCTGGAAACATCTGCATAGAATAAAGATAAATAAAGATAGTACTCTTTCTACAACTGGCGAAACAATACAAACTCCAACTGGTGAAACAATACAAACTCCAACCCAAGCCCAATACCCTCTGGCTTTTCTTCAGCGCTGGTCTCCACTGGACCTTCGTGTGGTTCAGTCAACCGTTGGATTCAAAAGGATATGCTCTGACACTGTTTGAAAAGGACAATCAATGAAAAGCATCAATCAATCAGAAGCATCATGACAATTACGGAGCCAAGCGTGCAAGGTGCGCAAATACTCAAAGGTAATCAGTGTATGTTTCAACCAGCATATCATGAGTTCATTCACGTTGAATCAGTTCACCTGAAATGACAACACATCTGGCATACAAGAACAAACTTTTCTATCAAACCATACTTCATGAGTAGTGAAATCCAAACCCTAAAATCAGCCAGCCTGTGTCCATGTTGGCGTCAGCAGAACCTCATTTCAATCACAAAGTAGCTGGGCTAAATCCAAAAGCCATTTCATGCGCTTCTTCCAGAGTAGAATCGACAGAATCAAATGCAACATGATGATGCATAGGCACCAAAAATCTAAGTCCGACACCCTCTGGATTTGCAGCACCCTTCTCCGGACCTAAACACGATTCCGCTCAATTAATGGCTTAAAGGCTTAAAGTCTACACTGTCATGTTGACCCATACTCGTACCATCTGGCAAGGTGTCGCCACTGACGAGAATGCCAAAGTGCAGCCATACGCTCGCATCAAAGGAGCTATTTCATGAAACCAACATGTCCCACTGTAGGAGAAGGGCCACTTGCAGTGCAAACGATCTCGAGACTGCAAATGCTACAATAGACTTGTGCCATCTTGTGCCAACGTGGGCCTGCATCTGTCTTTGTTGCATCAGCAGGACCTCAAATGGAGGCAAACAACGCTTCTTTGGGATTTTGGAAACGTTCATACAAATCTGGAACCTTGATTCTGATTCTAGAACAGCAATCGCTCTGCTTAAGACACACTTAAGAGATCTTAAGAGAAACTTATATTATGTACAAGTCCAAGTCTTCTTCCACAACAAATCTGTAGCCCTATCTAGTGAAGTCAATCAAGGAAGTTCAGCATAAACACCACACCTCCACCACAATCCAACAAAATGACATGCTGCTTATCATCAGTTGTTGCGAGGCTAGTCTGATCAAAACATGGAGGATGTCAATCACTAGCACGTACCAATAAAAATCCGGAATGTTGGTCCTCTCTATTGACCTCCTACATACAAACAACACATGGACAAACCTGTGCATAGACTAAAGATAAGTAAAAATAGTACTCTTTCTACGACTGGCGAAACAATACAAACACCAACCAGTGAAACAATACAAACTCCAACCCAAGCCCAATACCCTCTGGCTTTGCGTCAGCGCTGGTCTCCACTGGACCTTCGTGTGGTTCAACGGCTGGATTCAAAAGGACAGGCTCTGCTGTTTGAAAGGGACGATCCATGAAAAGCATCGATCAATCAGAAGCATCGTGAATCGGTTTCACTACTAGCTCACGCATAGATTCACCCGACATGAAAATACATCTAATGCACCTAGCATACATTGAAACAACTTTTGTCTAAAACCATACTTCACGAGTAGTCAAATCCAAACCCATCCAAACCCTAGAATCAGCCAGCCTGTGTTCATTTTGGCGTCAGCAAAACCTCGTTTCAATCCCAAAGTAGCTGGGCCAAATCCAAAAGCCATGCCATGCGCTTCTTCCAGAGTAGAATCGACCGAATCAAATGCAACATGATGATGCATAGGCACCAAAAATCTAAGTCCGACACCCTCTGGATTTGCAGCACTCTTCTCCGGACCTAAACACGATTCCGCTCGGCTTAAAGGCTTAAAGTCTACACTGTCATGTTGACCCATACTCGTACCATCTGGCAAGGTGTCGCCACTGACGAGAATGCCAAAGTGCAGCCATACGCTCGCATCAAAGGAGCTATTTCATGGAACCACCATGTCCTACTGTAGGAGAAGGGCCACTTCAACTGCAAACGATCTCGAGACTGCAAATGATACAATAGACTTGTGCCAACGTGGGCCTGCATCTGTCTTTGTTGCATCAGCAGGACCTCATCTGCAGGCAAACAACGCTTCTTTGGGATTTTGGAAACGTTCATACAAATCTGGAACCTTGATTCTGATTCTAGAACAGCAATCGCTCTGCTTAAGACACACTTAAGAGATCTTAAGAGAAACTTATATTATGTACAAGTCCAAGTCTTCTTCCACAACAAATCTGTAGCCCTATTTAGTAAAGTCAATCAAGGAAGTTCAGCATAAACACCACACCTCCACCACAATCCAACAAAATCACATGCTGCTTATCATCAATTGTTGCGAGGCTAGTCTATCAAAACATGGAGGATATCAATCACTAGCACGTACCAATAAAAATACGCAATGTTGGTCCTCTCTATTGACCTCCTACATACAAAAAACACATGGACAAACCTGTGCATAGACTAAAAATAAGTAAAAATAGTACTCTTTCTACGACTGGCGAAACAAGACAAACTCCAACTGGTGAAACAATACAAACTCCAACCCAAGCCCAATACCCTCTGGCTTTGCGTCAGCGCTGGTCTCCACTGGACCTTCGTGTGGTTCAACAGCTGGATTCAAAAGGACATGCTGTTTGAAAGGGACGATCCATGAAAAGCATGAATCGATCAATCAGAAGCATCGTGAATCGGTTTCACTACTAGCTCACGTATAGATTCACCCGACATGAAAATACATCTAATGCAACTAGCATACATTGAAACAACTTTTGTCTAAAACCATACTTCACGAGTAGTCAAATCCTAGATTCAAGCGCATTATTTTGCTCAACAGGCTGTGTCTCGACGGTGCCATTATGATCCATTATGTGCCATTCGATGACAGCAACACTCTTCTATGATATTTTTGCAGTTGGAGCAGGAAAGCCCCTCTACAGACCAAAGAGCGGCATCCTGCAAAGGCACGAGTGCCAATGTGTGTGACAGAGTCCGGGATGTTCAATCTCGTCAAAGAGCTGCAGCATCGAAAAGTTTCATCCCCAATGTAGGTCACTGAGTCTGGGATGGTCAAGTTTGTCAAAGAGCAGCAGTATCGAAAAGCTTTATCCCCAATGTAGGTCACTGAGTTGGAGATGGTCAAGTTCGCCAAAGACCTACAGTCTGCAAAGGCACCATCCGGAATGTGGGTCACTGAGTCCGGGATGGTCAAAACTACCAAAGAGCCGCAACCGAAAAAGGCACCATTGCCAATGTGGGTCACAGAGTTTGGGATAGTCAAGCTTCTCAAGGAGCTGCAACCCTCAAAGGCACCATTCTCAATGTGGGTCACGGAGTCCGGGATGGTCAAGTTCACCAAAGAGCTGCAATCCTCAAAGGCACTTTTGCCAATGTGGGTCACTGAGTTCGGGATGGTCAAGTTTGCCAAAGCCAAGCATTGCTGAAAGGCGCACTCTCCAATGTGGATCAGAGAGTTTGGGATAGTCAAGCTTCTCAAGGAGCTGCAGCCCTTAAAGGCACCAATCCCGATGTCGACCACTGAATTCGGGATGGTCAAGTTAACCAAAGAGCTGCAACCCTCGAAGACATGATTCCCAATGTGCGTCAATGAGTTCGGGATGGTCAAGTTTGCCAAAGCCAAGCATTTCAGAAAGGCGCAATCTCCAATGTTGGTCATTGAGTCCGGGATGGTCAACTTCGTCAGAGATTTGCAATTGCGAAAAGCACTGCACCCAATGTGGGTCACTGAGTTTGGGATGGTCAAGCTTCTCAACAAGATGCAATCCTGAAAGGTACAAGTCCCAATGTGCGTCAATGAGTTCGGGATGGTCAAGTTTGCCAAATGCCTGCAATTCTGAAAGACACGCTCCTCAATGTGGGTCATTGAGTCCGGGATGGTCAAGTTTGTCAGAGAGTAGCAATTCAGAAAAGCACTCTTCCCAATGTGGGTCACTGAGTTTGGGATATTCAAGCTTCTCAAAGAGACACAACCCTCGAAGGCTTCATCGCCAATGTGAGTCACAGAGTTTGGGATAGTCAAGCTTCTCAAGGAGCTGCAACCCTCAAAGGCACCATTCTCAATGTGGGTCACTGAGTCTGGGATGGTCAATTTAGCCATGGTTATGCAGGCCTGGAAGGCCATCCTAGGGATTTGAATGTCACCATCTGGGATTTCAACTTCAATCAACTGTTCTAAGTCAACTTCGCTGCTGCTGTCAAAAGCCTCTTTGTTGGAGCATCTGAGGATGTTTGGTTTCAAGACAACGCTTACAGTATTAGCAACAATCCCTGCATCTGCCAGCGTCTCATCATTCCCCAGCAACCTGTCTCCAACAATAATCTCCACCACGGTAGTGCTGCGAGTCACTTCGTCCGGAATCTGCTCAGCTCTGATTTGCCGCTTTAGCTCTCGACCTGTTTTCTCTGGCGTGACTTCAAAGTGAATCATGTCACCATTGACTTGCACAGCTGAAAGTCTCATGGCCATGGCTGAAGACTTGTCCGATTTTGTGCCGTGTCTCCTATTAGGCTTAACTTCTTCGACAAGAAAGAATCCATACAAATATTAAGGAAACGTATTATAAATATATCGATCTGTTGTGGAAGTGGAGAGCCTTACGTTCGACTGAAGAAAAGAACACATGTTCCCCACCCATGTCCTGTCACAAAGAAACACAAACCAGGGGACATGGAGAGTGGATTCGGTTTTGAACCAGCATCGATGAACAGCATCGATCAATCAGAAGCATTGTGAATCGGTTTAACTATACTCAATTGCACTCAAAGCTTGCGTTAACCAGGATGTTATTGTTGAATGAATTCACCTGACAGGACAAACACATCTAGCATGCATTCGAACAACTTTTGTCCAAAGCCATACTTCACGAGTAGTCACAAACCCAAGAATCAGCCAGCCTGTGTTCATGTTGGCGTCAGCAGAACCTCGTTTCAATCACAAACTAGCTGGGCCAAATCCCAACAGCCATGGCATGCCCTTCTCCCAGACTACAATGAACAGAATCAAATGCAACATGATGATGCATAGGTACCAAAAATCTAAGTCCGACACCCTCTGGATTTGCAGCACTCTTCTCCGGACCTCAAGAGCATTCCGCTTGGCGCTCGGCGTGGCTCATTCCGCTCGAGACAGTCTACACCGTCCAGTTGGATGGCAGATGGTGTCGCCAATAAGGAGAATTGGATAGTGCAGCCATAGACTTGAATCAGAGGAGCTATTTCATGGAACCAACATGTCCCACTACAGAAACAGGGTCACTTGCACAGCAAACGATCTCGAGACTGCAAATGCTACAATAAACTTGTGCTAAAGCGCGCCTGCATCTGTCTTTGTTCCATCAGCAGGACCTCATCTGCAGGCAAACAATACTTCTTTGGGACTTTGGAACGGACACAATCATGAAAATTTGGATCCTTGATTCTGATTCTGGAACAGGAATCGCTCTTAAGAGATC